CTTATTTGGTGAATATCGTAAATGTTTAATGGTAGATTCTTAGCCTCTCCCACATAGTTGGGTTTTCTAATATTTTCTTTCATTTCTAACTATCCTGTTGATAATATTCACACRTGTAGCTTTTGAGCAACAACCTTTATTATTTGTGAACTCTTAAGTATATAGGTGATATAATGCTGATTAAATTCTTTAAAATTTATATATTAGATTGTGTTTAAATTTTTAGTGGAGTACAACGACAATTAACTTATGATATGCTACATAATGATGATCCATCTTCAGTACAAGGATTATTGGAGTATGCTTTAAAGCAATTACAACCCCTAAATATTCCAAAATTACATATATCAAGCCGGTAAKTAAAATCTAATATTAAGTAAAATGTATTGATAAAACTATAAAGTATAAWTTCTTATTTTAGAAGCAAAGTTTTAATAACTTAAGAGAACACTATACCCACATGTGTTGTCTCAGTCTTACAAATGTAAAACATTGTGAAAACTGTTTTGTGCAAAAACAATCACTAAATGTGTAATTCAAGCTAAGCAACCAAATTTTCACACTATTAAGAGGGGAATAATTACTGTGCTACATTGTTTTAATTTTTCCAATTTCAGAACTAAAAAAAAGTTATTTATGTTTGATAAACTCAAAAATAATGAATTTTTAAACAATAAGAACTTTTTTCGTATTTGTGATAGCAAAATATTAAAAACAACATTGCACAGTAAATATTCTTCTCTTTATAGTGTGGACATTTGGTTGCTTAGCTTGGATTACAGCTTGAGTAKTTCTTTCCCACACAAAACAGTTTTTGTAATGTTTTACATTTRTAAGAATGTAAGATGGAAATTACACATACGAGTGTATTATCCTCTTAATATATTGCATAGTATACTACAAAATATATTATTTATACTCTTTTTTAAAATAAGAAGGTGCTTGGGCATCAACCAGATTTTATCTGAAACTGAGAGTCATATTCAAATGAACAATTTGTTTGGAATATTTCAAATTCCCACTTTAATGATTTGTGGTGCCAATGCACAGAACAATACCACATCCATGTGCAGTTGGCCACTCAAGGGWCATCTTATTCTGCCTGATTAAAATATTTATTAATTATGTGAATATTTGATCAATCATATAAAGATTTTTAGATTAGATAATAATAAATAGTTTTAGGAATAGTATTTTTTTTAATCATTTCTCAACAATAAATATTTTAATTTATTTTTTCTAAATGTATTTTGCTCATCAATTTTTAAAATTTTGTATGTTCACATAATGTATAAATAAAATTGAAATTATTTTTGCATATTAATACATTATTTTTTATTTTAATCTTAGGACAGATCAAGGAGTTCACTCATTTAAGTCTTCTGCTCATTTAGATTTAGAATTACCATATACCTGTCATCCCAACAAACTAGTATTTCAAGTGAATAACTTCTTAAGCTCATGTGAAGTTCCTATCAAGTATGTTTAAAATTTGTGATTATAAATTATATTTTATTTTATTTTAAAACATAAAATTCTGATTATTTGAGTTGTATAGCATTTAAGTTAATGATATTTACTATTAACTAATAAGTCCTTAAGATATCTAAATAGACTTTTAGTAGATTTTTATTCATTTAATGATTGTTATACATTATTTATTTATTTATGGTTTAACAAGCTATGCCYTTTTTACAAGATTTTAGCAATTGTTGTAATAATATGTATGTAAAAGACAAGGAAAGATATCAACTTACTTATCAATCTTATCACAATCACAAAAACCAATACTGTAATGATGATCTTATTAATTCTAAAGCCTTAAATCTAAATATTTCACGAGAAAGTACAAAAAAAAGATTATAGTATTCATTGTTGTTGTGGTAGGTACTTTAAAAATTATTTTAGAACCTGCATGGCGACCATTTATGTATGTATACATAATACATATATTGGTTAGTTTTTTTATTTTAATATACTTAATATTATAATAAATGTTTTATTTTTTCAAATTATATTAAAATCATAATTATTTAAACATATTTTATTTAGGTAATTATTAATGTAATAATGATAATCAAAATTATAATTGTTTGTAATTTAAAAGGCTAATTAGTGCTCAAATAGTTCCTAATGATTTCAATGCAAGATCATGTGCAAAGTGGAGAAAATATTTATATCGATTAGCAGTTGTCAAACCAGAATTTAAAGATCTGTATGCAGAGAGATTTGTGTTCCCAATTCCAATTACTGAAGTAAAACGTTGTTATTTTATTCAGTGAGTTATTAATATCTTACCTTTCAATAATCCCATTTTATTTGAAACTAATACCTAAATTTATTATTTTTCACTGATTTCAGGAAAAATGATTTTGATGTAGAACTTGTGAAGAATGTACTGCCATTATTTATTGGAACTAAAGATTAYAAAACATTTATGGGAAAATCTGGAATAAATACTGAGTAATTTAAGAATAAATAAATATTGTATAATATTCACAATATAATAGGCAACCGACTTGTAGGCACTTGTAGGCAGGGATGAAGATCTTCTATGGCAAGCATAGAGATGGTTTACTCAGAAGTCGAAAAAAAAAAAATACTCCAGTAAAAATAAATCTCTAAAATAGACTATGAAAATTAAAATCCATTTTTTCAGTGAGTGCCATTTAGTTTGAGTTTAATACAAATTTTTATACACTGAATTAAAATGAATTTATTAAATAACAGTCATAATATATAATACGTAACAATAATAAGTTTCACCACAACTGTATAGTGCAGAATAGGAAAAGTTTTATTAAATAACTTATTAGCAATCAAATTTTGTTCTAATCTGATATATTATATACAATATGGTACATATAAGATAAATATTTGATATAATTTTGATCTCCAGAAACATTTCTATTCTAATGATGACTTATCCACCAGGAATTAATAGAGGACATACTATATTAGATATTCTATTAATTTTATTGATTAAGTTTTGGAACCGTTCTTACAATGCTCAGTTAAAGTTAACGGGCACTTTACCAGACATTGTAAAAACCGGCCTAACACATCTATGATAAGATTTTTCAGTATTTATACAAAGTTAGAGATATACATTTTAATTGTACAATAAATTACATTTATGAATTATCAACTAAAAAATTCAGATTTTAATTTTTGAAGGAATCTTTATTTTACATGTTATTTATCACATATTTGACATTAACATTTTGTTTTTTTGTTACATAGATTAAGTACGACACGTACATGGAATAATATTGAAATAGTTCCAGGCCGTTCATTTTATCCGACAGATATTGACAAGTATTACAATTATTGGGATATTTGGGTCGATGCAAAATCATTTCTTTACAAACAAGTATGATAAATATTCTAAGTATTCCTCTTTMTAACAAWGAAAAAAAAATTCAAAATCGGGTATCTCTACGACATGATTAAGTTTTTCTTGTAAGGCATGTTTCTGAGCAAGCAGCATAGGCCCCTGTATATAAAATATTATTATTTTCCCCAACGGATCTTTTGACCTTAATTAAATTGAAGATATTTTGTTCTTAAGAATTTTTCAATTAGGTAATGTACTATTTTTCATCCATCAACCAATAAATTATGACTTGAGACCTGCTTTTGCATTACGTTAAGCTTTTCATTCATGGTTAAAATATCTATAACTCAATTGTTAATAAATTATACACTTTTATACAGAAACATTGTTCTAAGGTTTTATTTATATAGTTATGAAAACTTATCTTGATAATTTTAAAATTATTGTATTTTTAGGGTTAAAATAACTTGTTGTATTTTATAATTACAAATTATATTATAATATCTTAATTAAACTATTGTTTATTTTTTTATTTTTAGATTAGACGTACTGTTGGGGTGCTTATTAAAGTTGCACAAAATGTAATTACATATGATGATGTTAAGTATATGTTTGATAATCCATCAATTAATAGTTGGAATCCAAAAGTATCAACAGCACCAAGTTATGGCTTATATTTGTATGACATAGGATATGACGAAAAAGATTTAATTTTACCAATAGAACACAGCAAGTTAGAAGAACCAGTTCATAGTGAAAGTCCTGTGGAAATTTCATTAGATTTAAAAAAAGAAATAGTGAAACAACGTATAGAAAATCGAAGAGTTGCACTTGAAGCTCGTATTGCAAAGTCAATTGAAAAAATCAAAGATCATGAGTTTCTTAGATCAGTTAAAAAATAAAAAAAACAGTTTATTAAGTGTTGAAACCAAAGTAACAACAGAAAGTGGTCTAGTTTTTAAAGAAACAAAATCAGCAGATGGTTTTAAAAGACAATTTTTGTTGAACGAACAAACTTGTGGTTTTATTGTTGATTCTAATCCAGATCTTAATGCTGGTCATGTATTTGATTTTTTATATTTTGGCTCACAAGATATTGCTTGTGACCCAAATATTTTAAATGCATTACAAATAACTGATGTATTAAGTATTGGCATAACAGTACCTAAGTACAATAATTTTATCTATAAATTTATTGAAGCCTACGATTTACCATCATTTAATATGCATGATATTTTCGATGATTGTTTTCTATACATTGAAAATATTCGTCTAAAAGGACGATGTGTATTTATTCATTGTAATGCAGGCATATCTCGTTCGCCAACTATTGTTATAGCATATGTTATGAAGCATTTAAAGATCGATTTTGAACATGCTTTTAAACTTGTTAAAGAAACTAGATCAACTATTAAACCAAATGCTGGTTTTCTTTTACAATTAAAAACTTATGGTGATAGTTTGAAAAATAATWTGTATCTGTAAGTAAATTAAAAATAACATATGTGTAAAACTAAATATTAATTTGAATTTATTAAAAATGACCAGATGATTTTTTAGTGTATTAAAGTCCTTGCTCTAGACTTATTACCCATATTGGCCATATTATATTGAATTCTGTTAAGTATCTCAATTTGTATATAATTTGTGTTAGTAATCCAGATACTTGAATTAGTTGAATTGTATAACTTTCTTGAACTCTTAGAAGCAAATTTTAAGTCTTCGGTTTTCTTACTGATGTTTTCAATGTTAATATAGAAGATTGAGGTTCTATTAATTATTTACTTCTCCTGTATTGAGTCTTGTGTCGATTATACATTCATGCCCTTTAAAATAATATATCATCTGCATAAAGTAGAAAAGACTGATGACTGAACAAATAAAAATAAGTCACTTTGACAAAAAGTGRAAAAGGCTTAGATCTAGTGGCGTATATAAAGGGAGGCCCCTAGAGCAGGGCAAACAGTGAAGTTACAAGTTAAATTAAAACATTGAACCTATGCATATTGCTTTATGGAAGTCACCCATTATCTCGCAAATTTGCAAAATACAAATAGGACAAAACCACACATAGATTTTTAAATACTGAATATTCAATCACTCCCAGCGTCGGATTGGTCCACTACTGAGATACTAGAAAAGTTCCTGGTGGGCCGATCCTCGTGTTAAAACTCTGGGCCGATGTACTTGAATTACCAAATTATTTGATAGTATTTATCTGTGTGTCTATGTTGTTTGTTGCAAATACTCGTATCACGATTTTGGATGTCATTTTGGCTACTCTAAGTATAGTAGATACAAAAGATACCTATAGTACCTTCATAATATTATGAGTTCATTAATCCGTCAACATATTTATAAAATATATTTTAATATTGTATATTCTGAGTGGAGCGATGAATGTATAGATTTTATAACGGTGTGTTTAAATATGAAAAAAATTGTTGTGACTATCGTCACTTTTTRATGCTTTCATTATCTTTTCTGGTAGAAAAATAAATCTATTATAGTTAAAAATTTGGGTGCTCATAAAAACAAGTTACATTCTATTGTTTATGTTAAACGTATATTATATTAAATTATAATTAAGACAATAACCCAATCCCCCCCTCCAAAAAAAAAGGAATTTTTTACAGAAAATTAATTATTTTAATTTAATGGATGAGCCTGTCAAACGACAATTTCCGGGGCCGAAATGTTAAGCTAATCAGCCGCTGATCACGGCACACAAAATATTCAGTTGTATAATATTATATTTTACATGGAACATAAACACTTAATTTAGTATTTAGATACTCTGAGAAATTCTATGAAAGTTAGATACTTTTTTATGCTTAAGAAATGGTCTCTTAGTGGTACATACTTATAACTACAAAACTTTCGATACCAAGCATTAGTCTTAGTGGAGTCGGGAGAACAGCTTCCCCCCCCCCTATGCATATTAAAAATGTTTTTAGTAGCACTATTTTTGCACCAACACTTTTATAAAAGCATTTATATACTTATTATCATTATTATTGATTATTTTTGACGAAGATAACATTTGAAATTGAAACACGATGAACAAACAAAATGAAGTRGARTAATAAAATTAGTTAAAAAATGAAAAATAACTATAGGTTCCTAACATGAGCCGGGTACATAAGCTTAAAAATAGGGAATTTTAAAATTACAGAAGACGGCTAGAACAAAATTGCTTTTCCAAATTTTTTAACCATAAGATCGATTCCAGGTTTGTTTTGTGAAGTTTTTTAATGCCTCCAAAGGATCATATTCTATATATAGCACGTGTGTGTCTACAGTAAAACGTACTATTTGTTTGCTTTCGCATAAAAGTATACTGAACACTCATTAAGAACTCAAAAAGAGCCAAATACTGTAGAGATTTCTTACATAATATTTTGATAAAATAATATAAAACGTAATAAAYACCTATACAATTATATCTTATATACTTTTTATCAATTGTAAGATAATTAATCATTTTTTATATTTTAAATGAAGTTAAATAAATAAAATTAATACAATAATCAGTCACCTATTAAAAATAATCGGTTAATTGGTACATGTCCCCTTTGTCCAATAGAGTTGCGGCTACCGACTTCTACTGAATAATATAATATTATTATGTATATTTCAAATTTGTTCGTAAAGATTGTCTTTGTAAATGGCGGTCGACTTCATTTAATATTCTTTGCTGATAATATAGTACAATAAATTTAATGTGATATAAGAAGCACAGTAGACCATTTACTATCTATACATAACAGTATCACAGAATAAAATTGTATTGTTGTATTTAATATCTATGATAGTATGATGGTATGATTTATATTTTATGGTTAATACTGAATACTGATTTCTATTATTAATGTCCATTATTCAAAATTTCAGTTTTTCAAGGAATTATTTGACATCTAAGAGAATCGAATTCGAATCAGTGTTGTATTTATTATTATTTTTAAATATTTACTTAAAAAATTACGAAAGAGTATGATTATTATAGATGGTTTATTTTTATGACGTATCGGCATATTAATTGAAACGTTGACCATGTCTGATGCCGTAGTCGTAAAGGCTAAGACCGAACGGAAGGTGTTCAGACCGTCAGCTAAAGTTCTAAACAAAATACCCGATGAGATTACCAATGACCCTGAGCTGATCGCCGCTTTACAATCGTTACCATCTAACTACAACTTTGAATTGCCGAAGACCATATGGCGACTGCGTCAAATGCAAGCCAAACGCGTTGCGTTGCAAATGCCCGAAGGCCTAACCATGTTTGCTGTACAGTTGTGTGACATTATCGAAAGGTTCACCGATGCAGACACGGTGATTATGGGCGATGTCACCTATGGTGCGTGTTGTGTTGACGATTTCACAGCCAAAGCGCTCGGTGTCGACCTTTTAGTGCACTATGGCCACAGTTGTCTCATTCCTGTCGATCAAACAGAAGGGGTCAAAGTACTATATGTTTTTGTTGACATCAAGATTGACGCTATTCACCTGATCGAAACTGTGAAATTGAACTTTACAAAACAACAGAGACTATTGTTTGTGAGCACTGTTCAGTTTGTCACCACTTTACAAGGGTTGATTAATAAATTAAAAACAGACGGGTTAGTAGCTGAACATTATGATAGTTGTTCTAATCGACACCTTGTAAATATGTTCAAGATTTTTCTATTTTCACAATTTTTCTATTTAGCTATTGTGTAAAAGTCCCCCAAGAAAAACCACTGTCACCAGGCGAAATTTTGGGATGTACCTCACCAAAGGTTTCAGACACCGATTGTTTGATTTATTTAGGTGATGGTCGTTTCCACTTAGAATCCATAATGATAGCTAACCCTGAACTTGCAGCATACAGGTAAACAAGTACGGCTTTATTTGTTCAATATATTTTTTTATAACGACATATTTAAATATTTCAAACACATTAAATTAAATTAAAAATTATTCAGTAAATACTTCCCATGCTTACTAGTTAATACAATTTGTGGTTCATAAATTGTTATGCATTTAACACATTTATGGCCACATATCATCTGTAGTTGACATGGGGTTTTCTTTAAATAAACCCATGTCAAGTAAGTAGGTGGATATGACCTTAAAATATTAAAATATTAAGCACATAATATAATTTTTATAACATGAAAATAAATAATAAGTAGGTAATAAATAATTACTAAAGAAGTTAATGATCAATTGATAATGATGATTAATATTATTAATTACCTAATATAATATAAATATGCCATAAATTAATAAATTATATTTTGAATAAGATTTAAATTCATATATCTACTTGACAAGAGATATTTATTGGTAATTTTAAATTAATTCTTAAAATATTTATCTGTTGTATTAAATGCTATTAAACTAATATTGAAATACTATCAAAATGAAAATTTATGTTGCACTAATAGTCAAGCTATAATACTTTAAACCAGAATATAAACAAATTGAAAATAAGTTAAATAATAGARTAAATATTAACAACTTTCATTTTTCATTTTATGTGGTTGTACAATAATTAATGTGATATATTATATTCAATTATTAGTATTATATTATTTGTGACATTAATTTTAGGTATGACCCTTATGAAAAAAAATTGACCAGAGAGTATTATGATCATGATGTCATGAAAGATACACGGCTAAAAGCAATTGAACGAGCTAAAGATGCAAAAACATTTGGCTTGATTTTAGGCACTCTGGGGAGACAAGGAAGTACAAAAGTTTTGGATTATTTTCATGTATGCTTAGTTCTGAAATGTGGTTATTGTTTGTAAATGTATGTAATAATAATCTATATTTTGTATTATACTGTTTCATTTTTAGGATCAAATGAGTTCGCATTTGAAAAACTCTGTGACTATTCTCTTATCAGAAATATTTCCTCAAAAGTTATCGTTTTTTGGAGATACGGTCGACGCTTGGATACAGATTGCATGCCCACGGTTGTCTATCGATTGGGGCTCTGCATTTGAAAAACCATTTTTATCACCTTATGAGGGTGCTGTAGTTATGAATCAAATTGAATTCAATTGCAAAGAAAATTATCCAATGGATTATTACAGTAATAACAGTTTAGGTGCTTGGACACCAAATTATCGACCAGCAAATGGTTGTTGTGGGAAAGGATGTGCAAATGGTTCAAAAAGTGATCCCCAAAAAATAGGTTGTTCTAACAAGCCATGATTAATTGGTTTCTTTCCATATGCTTCAATGCATTTGTTTACTGCCTGTTTTTATATATAGTTATACGTTTTGGTACAATTTTATTTTAATAAATTTGTGACAACAGTATTCTAAGATGATTTATTGAGTATGTCTTGAAAAAGATATAATAAAATATATGAAATTCCTAGGTGGWATGCTGAYTGCATTTTTCATCATTAACATTTCACTATAGTCTGTTCTACGAGAGATCATGCCGGTTCTGCGCATATAGGATGAAACATGTCACGGTCGGCGGACGTATCCCCTCCATGCGTCTACACATCGCCGTTGCCGTTTGGTGGGTAATGCACAGACCTGAACAAATTTTCGTTTTCTCGCGGCATGATCTCTTGTGGAACAGACCATAAATATTTTCAATAATTAAAGATTTTATGTATTATATAGGTATTGCATCAAAATTAAACAGAATGTATGATGTTATGATATCGATAAAACTGGCAAATACACTTCACACTGGTTTG